TAAATAATTAATCTACTCACAACATTAGAACGTTCTATAAATTTATTTTAGCATAGAATAGAATTTTCGTAATTTTTTATGGTTTGGAGTGCATATAATAGCTAAAAGGAGACCTAATAAAAATATTTGTTGAATTTTGGTAAAAGTTAAAGCCTATTGTAAACCAAAGTTCTTTAAAGAGTTGATTAGCCATAGGCTGCTTTGCATTTCCACATATTCATTACGAAAATTCGATTATAATATTATACATGTTATGTCAACAGTGTACGAATTTGTAAATTTGCACAAAGTTTGACGTTGATATTGTTAATCGTGTATTTTTTCATTCATTAATATTAAAAATTTTCCAGAATTGTTTTTCAATGGATTTAGCAGAATATTTTAACTTGATTTCCAATGTATTCCGGTCTCTAACCATACATGCTTATTCGAAATGATTTCTAATAAGTCTGTTCCGAATTCGTAATGATTTCGAATAAGCATTACGCTTGCTAGTACTTAAAATGTCATATAAATACATAATAACATCTCATCTATTCGTAAAGGAGTGAGAACTGTTTTAATATCTTAAAAATCCACTCTACAAATTTTCTTTATTTTCCTAATTTTTATAGTTTCCGGTCCAACTGTTGAATAAAATTACAAATAATTTTGATTTTCTAGGTATTTATTTTTAATTATCTACAAGTTTTTAATATGGTTTGTTAAAAATTCATAAGCATTTTTAAAATTTTAACGCTTTAATAATGTTAAAATTTATTAAAAATATTATTAATTATTCCTTTATACACTGTTAATTACAAAAATTATACTTTATTCATTTACAAAATGAAAAGTAATTTGTAAGCAATTATTGTTAAAATGAATTCGATTTTGTGAATACTGATGTGAACATTTAATCAGGCAATGTATGACTGAATTTCTTTAGAATCCGTTTGGTTTCCGGCAATGAAGTTTTGGTGCATTGCAAATTTGTTTAAAAAATGCGGGAAAAAGAACATACAGCATAATTTTTAATACGAAAGTCGTAAAAAAAAAAGTTCACTTAATTTTCTAGTAAAAAATTCAATTTTCATAACATGTCTTTTGCTATGAAAAATAATGAATGCCTTAAAACTTATAACCTAAAAATATTTCAAAATATAAAAATTAAATTATATGGTTTCTCTCAATACTTATAGTTTTGCGTAGCGTATGTATGTCTATACTGCTCAAATATTCACAAGTAAAACAATATTATGTTCTAGAAACTAGCTCATAAGATGTCGATAATGACATTTGTTTGGTAATCCAAAATCTGTTTATGAATCAAGCAAGTTGTTATGAAAAATTTCATGGTGTCATAATAAATCAGTCTGTTTTAACTCTTTTCATAAGTAGACAGGTTTGTTTTACTGCTATTTACCGACCGCACTGCATGAAATAAGAGAGATCTTGTAATTGAACTACATTTCACAAATCGATAGAAAGAAATACCATTAAACTATTTTTAGAGAGAAGTGGGTGTGTGGATCCGTCTTTACATTTGTATTTAAAATTTCAGCAGTACTAGTATCCATGAACATCTGAATGGCGGTCTAGTTTGGATATTTGATGAATTATCCACTGTTCAGTGATTCAGGTTTCAGCTGCAAATCAGATTTCTGTAATGGTTGATTTCTTGTTAATTTTATTGCAAATATAAGGAGATGTTTAGTATTATATATGGTATATCAAAAATATAACAAAATCTGTATAAAAAGTTATAAAATTATGCAAAACAAATGTTAAAGCGTGTCTACTGTTATGGATACCCTTAAAATGCAACATAATAAAACATGCAATAAAAAAATTAAAAAAATACTAAAAATTGCCAGTTCTTCAATGCTAATTCTTCTTTTTTCCTCTTTCACAAACCATTTAATATTTTTATGTACACAACACATACAAAATTTCAAGGTTTGGAATCACCTGTTATTTTCGTTATTTTCTTTTGTTACAATAATTAATGTTGGTTACATGCACATTTATTTTCTTTTCTGTTACTCGTTTTACTTATTGTGCACTGTGAACCTTAATATCGTATATTTAAAACAGCTTATGACTTGTGGTTTGTTCTATTTTGATTTTCTTTTTCATAATTTTCTTTGTATGCATGCAAAATTAATTTTTTTTTTTTACATTTTATTTTAGATAGTGTCTGGTTTTTGGTTTCCCAACTATTTACCATTATATAAAAGTGTTGTCGTTTTAAATTTTAAATAATAATTTTAATATATTTTGTCATAGGTTATTGGAATGCAAAAATTATTAATGGGTGAAAAGAAATGGATGAAATTTTCAATTCTATTGTTAAATAATTGTGAACAATTGGAAGTTTATTTTGAATTTTAGTGTATTTGAGTGTACTTCTTTTTCAAATTTGCAAGTATAAAGTTATTCTCCCAAATTAAGTTTGCAATTTTCCAAAACTATGCTTCGGAATTTTTAGAAACAAAATTAAATTTTAGTTCTGCATATATTGTACCGAAATTTGATTAATGAAGAGGACCTAATTGAGATCAAAAGTTGCACAAAAAATTTGAAAAGCAGCAGCGTTTCTAAAAAATTCATCTAAGGTTTCAGAAAAATATGCAATTCTTAGTTTTGCAATTACTGCTTGATTGTAAAATAGTTCCGCGTTTATCTAAGCGACTAAATTATTTCGTCAATTTAAATTGGTTGCGTTAACTAAAAATTGCAATCAGTTTGTAAAAAATTACAAGCTGTTTGATTGGATAATTGTATGCGATTTATAGAAAACAAATAAATAATCAAGCAGTGACAAATCTAAAAATTTCATTTCTGCCTGAGCCCTAATTTTCAAATTTTATTTTCTCGAAACACGGTTTTGCACTTGTAAATTTTTTTTTTTTTAAAATACAATTATTTTGATAACAACATTAGAAGTATAAATTATGATTATCTTATGTATACAAAATTTTAAATACTAACACGAAAACACTGTTGCAGAAAAATTACAATCATAGTTCTGAAATTTAAAATGTGGCAAAATTATATTTATAGTGCATACTATAGTTTACCACTGCCTACTTAAACAGTGTAAACGGGGAGAATATTGAAAAAAGAGAACAAGAGAACAAATACTAGAAGAAGACTCTATAGAGTTAGTTCATAAATTAATTCACAATAACAAAATTTTACAAAATATTATATGTACTAACCAGAGTAGTTATAATTTGTTGTTGTGGATTTTTAAATTGAAATTGCAATTTTACGAGTACTTTCAATGTGTAGTGTACACTTTTATATTCGCAAATTTAAGTCTATAAATTAAATAAAGAACTTGAGAGTTAATAATTGAAAATTTTGTTTTGCTACAATAAAGGTTACTTATTTTGTTTGTTTATTCTTTATTTGTGTATTATTCTTAGTATGCTTTTCTTTTTGGTTTCTTCTCTACACACTTATAACTTATTTATTTGCAATTTATTTAATTTGATTATTATAATTTATGTAGTTGTTATAGAATTGCCAGTTAATTTGGAAGAAGTATTTTATTTTGTATTGCACTTTTGTCAAAAACTTTATTTAATTGTACCTTAATACAATAAATCCTAGCAATTATAATAAAATTTATTTGAAAAACCAAATATTTTGTGTCTAAAGTAAAAAATTTTTGTTTTCGTAAAAAGTATAGAATTTGACCTTTATTTAAAATGTATTTTACAATTAACCCTTTAACTAACTTTGTTCTATCAAATTTGGCCATAAAAACCAAGCTTGTTATTACAAAACAATTAAATTCACTTCATTTTAATTTCTGACTTTCTTCGAAATATGAATAAAATTCTGTTAAAATATGTTCTTCACTTACTCAACCGCTGAATTGCGTTTGTATAATTTAAGTGATATAATGTTGACGCTGTCAAAATTTTTAATGTCAAACAAATAACATTGTCAAAATATCCTATAGTTAACGGAAATGTAATTTTATTTTTTTAAATTTTTATTCTTGTATAATATTATTTTCCTGTATATCTTTTTCTACCTCATTTGAGTTTTCAAGTCTATCATCCATTGTATTTTTTTTTTATTTTTTCTTTCTGTTTTTTTCATTTTTCATTTTTATTGCTTTATATATACGATTTTGAACTTGTTGATTGCGATTTTTTCTTTTTAGTTTAGTTTCAATTAAACCGTGTTTCACTATTCACCTATATACGAGTATGTAAAAAATTATGTTACCGGTTTTTTAAATTGAAATTTTCAAATTATTTTTAATAGAAATCATAATATTTTCTATAATACATAATTTTTTCTATGAAAATGTTAAGTTATATTTATTTATAATACATGCATATATACATATGTCTATATATATCATATATTATTTATATGTGGTCTGATATTTTAAAATAAACATTGAAGTAATATTTAAGTCAATTAATACACAAATAAATTTTTTAATGTTACCATTTTAATAAAATATTGTGAATTGTTTTAAAAAAATATTGTGACCTTTATAAAATTTGATAGCAACTTTCAAATGTTTGTCAAATACGCAAATATTTCAAAATTTCTTTTGAGTTATAATTTGGTGTTTAATATAAGATAAAATCTAATAAAATGATATTTTTAATTGATTTATTAATTAAGTTTTTTTGAAAAATATGTGAAATAAAATTGTTATCATAATTGTTGTAAATTAGGCAATAATTTGATTAAAAAGTTAATTATTAATTTCGGTAGAAAGCTACTCCTTTTCTGATTAGTTAAATTGCTGATAAATTAAAATATTTTCAGAATATTCAATTGAATAATTTTATATCGTAAAAAATTTAATATAGAAATCACATAGAATACTCATTTCAATACACTATTTACGAAATTTTTACAAAAACACCACAACCGAATATTAAATTTAAATTGTGTTCAAAAATATTATGGATTAAAGTCTATTGTATTGGATATATTGGATAAATTATTTTCATCCAGTTGAGAACCAGAATAATATTTTGTACATACAAACATTTATGAAAAAATGGAAATTATAAGTAAGTATGTACCTTTTGCTATATAAGAATGAGTTAAAAATATAATTATTAATAATATTTAAATCGAATCGTCTATTGTTTAATTCCCAATCTAGTACGTCAGAATGCCAGTTCGTTAAAATTTTTAATTGTTCATTATTCTTTTTAAGAATTTTATTGTCTGATATTTTTAAATGAACATTTGTTTTTTTTGTAGTCATCAAAATTATATTTGGTTTTTTTTATATTTTTAAATAAAAAAAAATTGAGTCAAATTTTTGTTTACACCGGATTTTTCAGTCGAATCAGATTTTTATCATAATTTTCTTATGATAGTCTGCCTATCTATACCAACTATGTACTCTATCAATTAAATTTATACTCTATTAATATTGATAAGAATTGAATTGGATTAAGGAAAATTTCATGTTAATCATTGTTTACAATTCAAACTTTGTATTTTTGAATTTACACATATCTTTGTTATTTTTGTTCAACCAAAATGATTGAATAGATATGTATATAACACTTTTCAATTCAATAAAATACTTGCAATACTTGTTAGAAATACGTTGAAGTCTAAATGTTTTAGAAAAACTTTGTCAAGATTTGAGAAAATAATTTCAAGTTATGTAATGGTATACAGGTAATCTATACTTGTATTTAGGTACTTTATTGTGTTTCAAGTATTGTTTATATATAGATAACTTAATTGATTGGCGGACCTTATATAATAACAATATTTTAGATTTAATTGGTATAAGATTATAAATCTTAAATCGAGTATGCAGGACTGGTATTATTGCCGACATTGAAATAAGCAAAGTTTCAAGTATGCAATGAAATACTTTGTAATTCTGAATTTTTTTTGGGAGTGTTACAAAAAAAGGTTATTATCAATTAAAGGAAATTTCTTTGAGCATGTCTTATTAAATAGTCTTGACTTTAAAATTTAGAATTTAAAATTAAAAATATCAGTAGATTATCTTTTGTAGCTTATTGATTCAACTTTAATTTTTGTTACTCGATAATAAAATATAGTATTAATAATTTTCTTATTTTACCGTGCATAACTAAAACATTTCTCCACTTTTCAGAAACATAACAAATGCGAGGGATTTTCTTATAGTTAGAAAATTATTATATATTTAGGAAATTTTATATAACTGTCATGTATTTTTTATAGCAAATAGTCGTATATAAAATATAACTATAAACATAAACTATATATAACTATATTATGTAAACCAAATTATATACAAATTTCTTATTATACATACTAAACTAAAAATATTTGGTGAGGAAAATTTTATGTGGGTTAACTTTTAGCACTCGTAGTGCATCGAAAAAAAAAAAATTAAATTTTTCGTGTTTTTTAAAAAAATTAAAAAAATATAATATGTATATAATATATATTTATTCAGATTTTGACGAGCTTTATCTTGAAAACTATGGCTTAAATCAAATTAATTATAAAGCCGATATAATATAGAATAAAGAGCAATTAATCACCTGCAAAACAAGACCCCGATGCTTATTCCATATCGCATGATTCCAAAGCTATGAGCATTTATTTATATGCAGGAAAAATCTGGTGCTTCTTTTTATTAACACGCTGTAGTTCGAAAACGAGTGTAGTTACATATATACACCACACCCATGCAATTTTTGGATCAAAAAATCATCCCAGAAATTATTTCCCATTTTATGCGAAACACCCTGTATAGTCTAACTACAGTAATATTACGTCATGGTTTTATTTATTTCACTACCAAAATAACAATTTTTTTTTGCGATCAAATACTCGTATCAATAAATAAATAAAAATTAAATAAGTAAACACAATTTTTTTTAAGTGCCGTGCTTATTCATAATAAAATAAAAAGCTAATAATCAATTCTATTGATAGGAAATCATCGTTGCGTATTAAAAAAAATGCTCAACCCTTTTTAATTTTTCCTATTTAATTTTGTTACCGTTTAATTTTTTGAGTGTGATGTACATAATCATATGTAAAATTTTTTAGTTTACTTATAATAATATGTAAAATAATTTATTTGAACTACAATACTGGATAAAGTAGAAAGTTCTTAAATTACAAAATATGAGAATTCGTTTAACAAATTAGAAAGGTTTTGCGCTCTTATACTATCAAAAGAAATTATACAACTATTGCAGGAAATTTTGCCCATCACATTTATTTCATTTGAGAAGCAAAACAAGTACAGTGTTGTTCTTATAATTTAGATGGTTAATTTGCCGTAAAATGGCCAAAGTTGATTTACCATATTTATGCCAAGAAAATTATGTATTCAGCAATTCTGCAAGTGTATTTGTACAATGAAATTGACATTAAAAATGCTAGCATTTAACGTATTCGTTAATAGTCTCTTAGACTTGAATTAATTTGAATTATATTGTATAGTTTGAAATCATATGTAGAACATTATTGTGTTAATGATCTGTTTTAAAACCTTTTGAGTTTGTTTCTGTGTATTTGCAAGGAACATAATATTGTGAATGTAATCTACTGACGATACCTTTCCGGTGTTTATATCCGTACGAACGTATGTTCGAAGGTTATACTAAATTTGCCTTACCTTTTGTAACGCTAAGAAATAATGGTCTTAGATATATACTCAAGTGTATGTTTTTGATCAGCGTCGAATTCTGAGTCGATTTAGCTTTGTCTGTCTGTCTGTCCGGCCGTCCGTCCATCCCACCGATAACTCAAAAACTAATTGAGCTAAATTCACCAAATTTTCACAAATTTATTATAGTAAATGTTATTTATTATAGTAAATGTTATTTATTATATAGTAAATGTTAAAACCCTATTTAAATTAGATACGATCGGGGTACTGGTTCGGGTAGCTGTCATACAACTTCAAAAGTTATTTGGCTATATCTTAGAAACTGTTAAAGCTGTAGTATTGAAACTTCGCATAAGTAAATATGTAAGTAGGGTACATACAACTTCAATATTAGTTTTGTCATATCTTAGAAAATATTGAAAATTAGTACTGAAATTTTTCATAAATTAATATAGTAATATGGCAACTTGCAGTCGTAGTCTATCCGATAGTCAGCTGTGGCATATTTATTGGAACATAGGATAAAAAATTTATACGAGTATCATAGAGTTGATTCGGTCAACTCTATTTTTTCTCATTTTTTTTATTTTTTATAGAAAATTATTGCTAATTTTGTCGTTAGAAAAATATTCATGACATAATTATACCATAAAATGTTTAAATATTTAAATAATAAGTTAAAAATTAATTAATATGTTTTTTTAATTCTGTATGTGTATATTTCAATAACTGAAAAATATGAAAATTGTGTTCATTTATTTTTATGTTCATTTCTACTGTTGAGTTGTTCAACATGGCCTCATAATTATAAAGACTATTATTAAATGCATTTCTTCATTTTTAAATTCTTAAATTGCTTATTTTTGGTTTTAGTTCTTTTAACATGCATTGGAAACTAAAGAATTTAAAGAAACCTTCAATTTTTAAGGAAAATAATATATTACTAAATATTTTGCCATTGGTTAAACACGAGGCCAAGCATTTCTGTGTTGAATACAACTGAAACTTTATTTCGGTGAAAATTTCATTATGTTGTTCATACAATCTGTATGAAAAGATCTGTATGAACAATGAAAATTAAAATGAGAAAACTAAAATATCAAATTTTTCTTATACATAAAATTTTGAATTTTTTGTTTTTAAATATATTTCAGTTTTTATTTATTTCTATTAATTAATTATTTTCATTGTTACTTTTATTAATATACTCGTAATATACGAATATTTTATATTAATTTTTTTTTTTTGGAAAACTATATATGTGTAATAAAATTTGGTCCGATGAACTTGAAAATAAATTGTTTGGCTATAATTTTGCACATATTTTTGTAATATACTAAAAAATTTTTTCTAAAACAAAGTTGAAATTTTATTATTTTTTTTGTTGCAATTTTTTTTTTATTGGAAGAATATATAAAGCGAAAATTTCATACATATAATTTCCGAAATTTTATTAAATTATTACTATCGTATTCTATAGACTGTTAGATCGTAATATGATGAATTTTTAGTGTTGCATACAGAGTTTTTTTTGTATATCGTATAAGGTTAAAGAGGTGTGCGGAAAATAAATTTCTAATAAAATTTTATTGTTAAAATCATAAAAATTTAATATGATATCTGTATTATTTATATAAATTATTAGAATTACCCATTATTTAATATTTTGTTCCGAAGAAAATGAATTCAATATTGACTATATATATGTGTATTTATTTACTTTTTCATTTAGATATTGCTAAGAATATGTATATATGAATCAGTTGTTGTAAAATAATTGCATTAAAAAGTTCAAAAGAAAATTTATTGAGAATAATATTGAATAAATATAATATGGGTATTAATATGTGAATATATGCATGTGTTTTAGTATTACTTTTATTTTCTAGTTTCATGATGGTTATAAAGGTTAACGAGCCATTGAAAATATAATTTTGTTCCAAATTTATATAGAATAGAATTTTAGATTATTTTGTAATACTTTCGTTAGTTTTTTTACCTTATTATATTTGTATTTCATTTATATCATATTGTAGGTAGTAAATATACTTTAAATTAAATCTAATGTTTATATTATTAGCAGCTGATGTGAAAGGTAAAGCGACAGTGTCATTGTTTTCGTATTAAATTTCATATATGGGTAAATTTAAAATAATAACAACAAAATTTTCAATCTCTTGGAAATTGGGATATATAAGAAATCTATTATGATTGCTCTATAAAAATTCGATTTTAACTTTAAAATAATAAAACTGTTAATTTATTAATACTAGCCCCAACGATTCACAAGTTTAATCTAATAATGAAAATAACAATTTTTTCTCTGGAAATTCATATTAAGACAAATTATCAAGTTACTCTGTGTAAAAAATTTGATACCAAATTTCTTAGAATATTTTTAAATATTTTACGTCTTGAGATCTTGTT